TGGGGGGGGGGGGGGACACTCATATGTCTACCCTTGTATTGTGGCAGGTCTAGTGATTGCAGGAAAGCATTCAACATGACTGTACATTTCCAATAACATAATGTTAAACGTACTTATAATGATTCATCCAATATTACAATCTTTTACAAAATCATTCTCAATAGAGAGTGGAGTCAGAAGAAACAGTACTTTCATAAAAATGAGAACTGCAGGCAGGCCATGAAGGTTCTGAAGGATGAGATATGGTCTAAATAGATTGGCAGAAACACTAAATGCTGCAGTCATCATGGCATGTTTCAGTGCTTCCCTGACAGCCAGGCTATGACACTAAACAGAAATGAAGGGCACAGGTGATGACAGGACACAAGGATCATGTTCAGAAACTGGAGAGAGATTGACTGAATATATGTATACTCATGTGTAACAACACAGCCATTATTCTCCATGGCAAAGTTGGTTGATGGCTTTACATCATGTGGTAAACAGAACAACAGAATATCACCACTGCCTCACTCAAGGATGTACATAACTGCAGCAGTTTTTCTATGAATTTATATGAAGGGGAAAACTGATTTATTTTTACTTATAAATATATACACACTCCTTATAGCAAAAGAATATTTGCCATTGGCATTCTTTATGCTATCCATACACATAAGAAAGCAGCAAAAATAGTATTTTCCAATAAAAGTGCTATAAAAACACAAAAATGTTTTTTTATATTTGATTCAAAAAACCATGCTAGCCAAATTGGTATAAATTAATCAGTTTCTCCTTTGTAAACAAAACCCCACACAAAAAAAAGAAATCAATTGCCAAATAAATTCAGAGAAGAATATTTTGGGAACCGTACGTCACTCGCTTTCTGTATGTAACTGGCAAAAGATAATATTGTTGCTCTTTCAGTTATCTTTACATTTTTGAGACCAACACTTTCATGATGACTTCATAAGCAATGTTGAAGTGTGATAATCTCAGTTCCTTCCTCAAAATGTCAACATTTACTTTTTTATACATATATTCCTGACTTACACCTGGATATTATACTAGACAGACATTTCTGTTACATAACAAAGAGGTTCTCACAAGACTGTGACTTGTACTTCATGCCCAGCAGGTTCTTCAGAATTCTTTGCCCACCTCCCACTTTCTGCTTCTTTTTCTTCTCGAGGTCTCGCCAAGGGTTCAGCTGCAACTGTGCCAGAATTCCGACTAAAAGCTCATCCACGTTGTGGTCAAGGCCGCTAGACGTCTCTATAAACTTGCAGCCACATGTGCTGGCCAGCTTGCGACCCACTGCTGGGTAGAAAGCACTATGCGTTATAGGGATATTATTATTTTTTATGTTACGTATAACTGAGAGACGTATTTTCAAATGTTGCTTTGGAAAGAACGTGAACCTTGTGCAATGTAATACACACTAACAAACAAACAGTGCTGCAGTTGACAGCACTGACGTTTCAATTTTAATGCTCATCGCTCTCTTTATGGTGTTGTTAGCAAAGGATGCTGTCCAACACAAAATGTAATTACAGTTAACAGATGTTAGCTTCACCATGTGTGTCCTTCCAATGTAATAATTTTAATGAAATTTGATATTGGAGAGTTTTACCAAAATCTGCTAACACATTTCAGTTTTGGTTTAAAAAATAAAAAAATTAAGGGCACTACAGGAGAAGCTATATGCATTTTTGTGCATGGAAGTTGCTGGGTGTGAAATTATGCCATGGGAAGTCCCCACCAAGGGAATTTGTACATTATACAGTAAGTTTCTCATGCTCGGGAGTGCATGTGCCGTGGTTGGGAAATTTTTTTATTTTAAGCCCACTTCAAGAATGAGACCTGAGGCAACATTATAATGTAACACTGGGGAGCTCATAAAATTGGGTTTCTCACTCATCAGCTTTATAAGGAGACCCAAAATTTATTCAAAGTTCAAAATGTAAACTCATAACTTTAGAAAACTGGACCCTAACGCCCCCAACACCACTTCTAGTACTGTGTATGTTTGTTCTAATTCGACAGTTGGAAATTCACTCAGAAACACAGATGACGCCCTGCAGATAGGCAACTTCTCCGACACCGTTGTACGTGAAGAAGCCTAATATAGCAGGCGCGTCCACATCTTGCACGGTGGAAAGGAAACGGTCGCAGTAGAGACAGATGGCATTCTTTACGAATTCATAGTAGTCGCTTTCCACTCCGTGTGTCAGTCGAGTTTCCCAGTTTTTCTGGCTCTTAAATCAACCTAGAATGAACGTTAGAGGACCTGGCATGGGGACCTCGCGCCTGCGCTCCAGGTCCGCCTTGTTTCCCGCCAGAATGACCCCGCGCGACGCCACGAAGCCGCCCTTCCACAGGAACAGCAGCATGTCCTCGGCCACCGCCAGACTGCTCCGGTCGACCACCGAGTACACCACCACGAACACGTCGGGGCCGTACGTACTGCAGCAGGTCTCCACCTGTGCTCACAAACCAAATCAAGCAGAATGTCGCTTAGGTGATCAAGAAATTACCGATTCACACCGTGTTCAGAATATACCGCCACTGGATCCAATCCTGAGCCACCCGAACCCAGTCCACACTATCCTACCCGACTTCAGCAAAAATAAATTGTAATATTATCCACTCATATACGCCAAAGTGTTCCGAGCGGTCTCTTCCCTTCAAAGTTACCAACCAAAGGTTTGTACGCATTTCTCAACTTTCGCATGTGTGCTGCATGCCCGGCCAGGGTTAGATGAGCTAAATATTTGACTGGCCTGAGATATGGTAACATGGCACAGAGCACTTCTCATACTGCATCAGCGCACATGGAACTCACCGACATCTCGGCGGCGGGATGGTCCACAATCTCCAGCTGAGCCTCCCGACCGTCCAGCATCACTGACACTATCTTCTGGCCGATATCCTCATCTGCAAAGCCAAAGGCAACGAACTCACTGACGTTCCTCCACACTTAAGTCTTTCGACTGCTTCTTATGACTCTACTAGCTGCTATAGAAATATTTCAGGGCCGTGTTACCACAAGTGAGCATTCCTTACAGATAACTACGCTCAGTAAGATGCAGGAAAACAAATACACGACTAATTGCCTTGAACCAGAAATCGTCAAGCCTCAGATTCAGACAAAAAAAGCTTTAAAAGAGTCCATTCATTCGGCCAATACAAACATATCGCGAGTACTCACCGAGCGACGAGTCGTACTCTGACACCGTAAACTGACAGGTGAGCGCTGTCTTGCCGACGCCCGAGGCGCCGAGCATCGCCACCCGGAACCTAGCGGGCGCCAAGTCGCCGTCCGGTGGGTTTCTTAAAAACACACAGTTGGCGATTTAAGCGACAGAGGGAAATGTCAGTTGAACATGGTTCCAAGTTACTTATGGACACAGTTTTATATCAGCTCTCGCTGAACGGGCCGGCAGTTGACACATAAAGTGTCTACAAGGAATGCCTCGATGGTCAGACTGTCAGGAGTGCCAACTACGTCTAGCTCCTTTTAAATGAGGTTGCCTCCTTGCTACGAGGGTTGCCGAGAGTTTCAAGAAGGGTCAGAGCAAACAGCTGTGCTGTGGAGCTGACAGAGGAATCGGCAGTTCGTCAGTCCGCGGCGAAAAGGAAGGGCTACTGCCTGGAGCAAACACTGTGCAAGTCCGTCTGACAACACAACTGACGAACACCTTGGTAATGCAAGTATAACCACATTATGACAAAGCCCAGTTCACTTCCATTTTGCACATTTTCAACCGATTTGCCTAGAACCTGTTTCAATACTGCAGTTTCATTTCCTGGGGCGTCTACATACTCACTAAACGCTACATGAGACGTGTTTAATAATCAGAACGTCTGAACACAACTCTTCGTTGTTGAACAGAAAAAAATTAACAATCACTATTAGCGTGTTTGCTTAACGATGCTGTATGATATGCATGTTACTATTAGTAAAGGTCGAGAGTGAAAGCAGGACTTTCTGCATGGGATTCAGGAGTGTCCATTCCTTATCGTGAAGTTGTTTTATAAATCTGAACAGAAACTACGCTACAGAACACACTCAACCCATCTCAAAGAGCTGAAAGCTGCCCTTGTCAATAAAAAGATAAAGCATTTATTTCAGTTTCTGGATTCTTTCCATTCGATATTGATTCAGATCCCAAACCGTCTCCGGCTGGTAAAGATAGCTCAAGCCATCATCCCCAGAGAACAGTGGATGTGAGCACACAAGTGTTCCTGGGACAGTCTCGATCAAAGAAAGCCACAAAGGCTCGTTTTTATTTTCTTCGGGGACGGAGGTCGTGACCCGGCTACGACCTTTCCCTATCACTGAGGAGTCATGGCTATAGGGAAGGGGCCACTTCAAAGACCTAGAAATAAATGTAAGAGTAATATTAAAATGGACAGTAAACATACAGGCTATAAAGACAGGGCCAAAGGTGGGATTCTTTAAATATGACGAAAAACCTTGGGTCCCATCACGAAATAGGCTAATTATCGAACAAATGAAAGGCCACTTATTAAGTAGGATTTGAGATTCTCACGGCGGTGAGTACGAAAATGGCTGTCTTCTGGGTTGTAGCGCCGCGTAGTCTGGTATAAGTTTACCAACGTTTCAGAGGTTCTAGCAAGGACCATACACGGCTCTACAACCCAGAAGACAGCCATCTAAGGATGTGACATTCTGTGTGGCTGTGAAACGGGGTCCTTGCTGTGAGGGAGGAACACACACTGAATTACAGCGCACCAGGACTGCTAGTGTTGGGACGATTGGCTATGCATGTTAAGTAACTGCGCTGAAGACGCTCCTGTACCTGGGAAGCCGTGTCGGGCTGACATCACTGCGGTTGGAACTGGTGGAACTGACGGAGTTGACGGAGCACGACAGCCGGGACTTAAATGAGTCCCCCAGGTTGAACACCCCGTTCGGGGTAATCGAGAAACTTCGGACACGGTAGTACTCCTGATGCTGGTCCCCGCAGCGACGCAGCTGCCCCAGCATCGGCTGCGACGCAAGGACAAACGAAATAAGACTACGTACCAACCTCACAGCCTTCATATACAACATACACTGAAACCCATTTCTGCAAGCTCATTTTTGTTTCCTTAAAATTCAGGCACTACATGCCGCCAATTGGCGTGAAGAGGTTCCGGTGGACCGCAAAGCGAACACCATCACATTCTGTTGCCACGGGAACCGTCTTTGTTAAGTTGTCGTTTCAAATCGTCGCCATGACGACTGGAAGGTCCAAACAATTCAAGGGCAATGAATGATTCAAATGCGCCCAAGCAGTTTTTAAACAATGTAAGAAGCATTTCGCTTTCAACACGAAAGCGTTGAGCTGGCGACACGGCTTACACAGCTTGTGTAGCCGGTCGTCCACGTTGTCACAGTTCGAGTTTAGTTCGATTTAAACGGCCATTTAGTTCGGAAGCTCAGTGAAAGAATTCAGCACGTCGGTTTTCCGGTCTGCAAGTAACGATGTCAGGATATATCCGGTTTTTGAATAACCCGAAGGTTCATTTCAAAATATCGTAATTGGACCGTGTCCTGTGCCAGTTTAACCCACTTCCCACACTGACAATTGTACCTTATACAGCATCAGAAGTCATTGGGAAAGCATTGCACCTTTAACTTAGTGTTTAGATTACACGCATGACACAGAAGTCGGAGAAGTTGCCGCACCGTCACGGCGATCCCGCGAGATAATCCTTACTTGTGCTAATTTTTTATTGCAAAAATTATCACCCAGACTCCACTCCGGTCGTGTTGGATCAATGTGTGATAACGTGTCGGCTGGCCGAGCCTATCGCAAGCTTCAGGGTCAATGAGAGGTTATATAACAAGATTGGCAGAGGAAGCCAAAGGACTGGCCTGCCACTTGTGGGTTTCGATTTCATTGGTTCACAGTACACGGTTTATCTCGTACGTCACTCGACATTTTCTGCTACAGATATCAAACGATATTAGAGCTATTTCACGCTCGAACTGCACTTAAAGGCAGATTCAAAGTAAGTTCAGCCGGTTTCCGTTCTATTCAATGTTAAGACAAAACACGTGATGCAGCATTCAGCCAGAGCTGACAGTATCTGAAGCCTGAATAACAGGATGAATGTGAATGGTGAACTGCAAAGGATATTAAAGAAAACGAAACTGTGAAAAGGCTTCAGTCAAGACAGCAACTGCAACGCCACCTTCGGTCAACGCAGTTTAAGACTACACACTACATACTGAATATGAACGGCTAATGACATGTCGGTGGCTAGGTGAAGGATTGTCAAGCGTTCGAGGCCCGTTCCAAGGAACTGGTTCGTCCCACTTTAGTCTTCTTGTCTATTTAAAACAGAGAAACAGCTGATCCCGGGGTTCGTACAACTGCTTCGTAGCTGTCGCGCTCTGACAGCTGGGAAGTTTCAATTTCTGCAGCGCACCTTGCAATTGTTTGTTCACAACAAATAAGCAGAGGCAATACAAGGCGGTGAAGAAGTAAGAGGGGGCGGCGAGAGCACTCTTTGTTGATGACAGCATAGAAAGACAAATTTCCTGAAATGTCAAAATAAATAAAAAATTAAATCTTCAGAATTTAAAAATGTTGAAAACACGTAATTTTATAATTTTTAAAGATTTTAAAACAATTTCGTGGGTAAGGTCTGAAAACTAATAGTCATTGTATGTCTCTAACAATAACATTAAACTTGTTAAATAATTTAACAAAGATATTGCTATCATAAACCGAAAACAATGTCTAGCCTTTTCAAAACTTCACAAAAAAGAAAACCTCATCAACAGAGTCCAAAATCAATATTTCAAACAATTTTTTGACATCATGAAACGCTAAACAAAACTATTCAAACCCTTGTCGTCCGAAGTTCGTCTAAACTACACACTGCTCGCAGCGTGGAGGAAAACACTCCGAGTTTTCGTAGGAAATGCCTTTACAAAACACACTCAAAGCAAACTTATACATGTTAAGAAATGTGTGTATACCATAACAACTCTTGAGAATTCGCTCTGTAATTGCATTTGGATTTTCAATTTGTAAATTCTAATGTCTGATCCTCTCTTATAGCCTAAACAGCGTAAAATAGGCAAGTCAGACGGGCAACGAATGAATGTGATGACAATCAGATAAATGATGACGTAACAAAAAATCATTTTCGTTTAGTTGTCTCTGAAACGTACGCTTCACAGGAAGACCCCTGTTTCATTCTTCTGTACAAACTTGTATGAAATTTCTTTTTGTTCCGACAAATATTAAGCGAGTTGGAGCCGATTAGTGAAGCGGTAGACAAGCTGTCCGGCCGGCGAACGATCAGTACTCACTGTGAGTCGAGGAACGGCCGGCACTGAAGCCGTCCTCAACCTGTAGCTGGGGGCCCGCCGCCCTCTACGGGGCGACATGGGGCTGGGGGCAACGTCATGAGATGCTGTGATGGATGAGGAGCGAAAGGAACGAGTGTGATGCCACCTGCGGGGAATCCCCTCTTCATCGCAGTTCGCTGCTGCCATGGCGACTGTCTCGCTGCACGATCAGCGCGCCTTAAGTACCGCGGGGCCGGACCACTCGCGCATGTCATGGGAAAGGCTGTTTAACACCCCTTGCACTGGGGAGGTCCCGAGCTCAAGTCAAGGCTTGGAGACCATCTATCCCGACCGAGGTTTCTCGTCGTTTTCCTCAGTCCGTCCTGGCAAATAGCCAGGATAGTATATCAAGTTAGGACATCATCCATTCTCCGTGTTCACTTTCGATCTACTGACGGCGTCGATAAATAAACTGTACATAAAATAAACAATCAGCACGTCATCTGCAAATAGGCCATGGCATTTAAAACCATTACAGTTCATACACAATGTAATCCGGCGGCGTCCCACTTCCGAAAGGCATTTCTAAATAATACAATTCTGAACAGCATCCAACTTGCCCACCCACATGTCAAACCACTGTCAAGCGTGTAATCTAATTAGTTGCATAAGATATTATCTCGATCACTTCTGTTGCTGCAAAAGCTAAGTTACCGTACTAAATTAAGCAACACGCCATCAGAAAACCAGCTGGATGGACGGCAGGCAGGGAATCGACCCCAGAAATGTTCCAGCTGTGTCCAGGGTGGCTCTGGGGCCCACCCAGCCTACTTTCCTAGCGTAGGGTATATTTCCGTAAGGCTAAGGCAGCCGAAGTGCGAAGATAACAACTTGCATCCATTTAATGACACTCCCATGCAATTTCAGAGAACCCTGAAGATTGTAGCCAACGAAACGTTCGTGGAACAATTCAATACTTTACTTCTGAAATCTGAATCCAGCCCTCAGCCCAGGAAACTAAAATAAGAATCGGGGATATGAAGTCACTGTGAGTTGCAAAGATCAATGAACTTCATGGGGCGCAGTCTGCGCTTGCACCCCTTGACGTCATTATACACGTGTGGCCCACATAGACAGTCCTCATGGCACACTCAAAAAAGACGCGAGATTAGACCGCTGAACTAACCTGTGTGGTGGATGTGAGACACCGCTCTGTATCGATAATGCTAACATTTGTACGGTGAGTTATCTTTAACAATGTAACAGTTCCCAGGGGAGTAAACGGTAGGTAGGCAAACAAAATCACAGCAGCCGTATTAGACAAAACCA